AAAAACACAGCGTGTGGGCCCCCAACCGCCATCGGGAGCCCGTCGGACCTACCCCGGTCGGGTCCAACTACCTCAACTACCAAACACCAACACCCAGCCCCCAACGGTCTGCACCCGCATCATACCTTTCCCTCCCCTTTCTTCCCTCCCTTCCCTTCCCCCCTCTTCCCCCCAAAACCCATCAGGGCCGGTACTTGTACGACATCGCGACTCACGGACAGGTACGGAAGTCGGTTGCTATCACGACGTACGTACGACGGTCGTCCACAGCGGTGTGCAGCCTGCTGTGAGGAGGAAGAGGGGAGAGAGGGTGAAGAGGAGAACAGCGGGTTTGGGGTTGGGGTTGGTGAGGGAATGGGAACCGCCGACTGACACCATACACCAGCCCCCCACGGCGTAAACCGCGGTGATCGGTTTGCCCCGCCCCGATCTGTCCTGCCGCCCCGCTTCCGACCCGCTCCCCGCTGTCTGCCTCCTCACGTCCTCAGGCGTTCGCGTACCGCTACCTGACGCCCAACGCCCGGCGGCTGTACTGGCTGCGGGCCCTGCGCGAGTACCGACAGCTCTTCTCCGACATGGACTCATTCCTGGCATCCCAGGTGGGGGTGGGGGTGGGGGTGAGGGTGGGGGTGGGTTGGTGGGAGTGATGGGAGTGGACTCCAGGGGTAGGTTGGGGCTTGGGGGGCTGAGGATTGGGGTGTGAAGGGGGTGGGGCGTGGGGCACAACAACCTCGTTCGACCTCATGGTCACCCGCCTCTGCTGGTCGCCTTTCGCTGGACTCGCTGGACAGTTTGGTCGTTCGCTTGAGGAAGTTGCGGCTGGCTTGTGGCTGGTTTCGCTGTATGACAGAAACGAGGGACAGGGCCAGCGGCGGCGGCGGTGGGGGTGGGGGTGGGGGTGGGGGTGGGGGTGCGCTGTCGTCTTCCATTCTGGAGTCTCCCAAAATCTTCACCCTCGTCCGTTCCCCGCCTCCCCAAATCCCCAAACCTACGTTTCTGCGATCACCTGCTGCCCACACCGCTGCCCACACAGGAGATTCCGGAGAGCGAGCCCGTCATCACCGGCAGCCGCAAATATGGTAGTTGATTCCCTGTGGCTGCTGGGTCGTCATCGCTGTCGCCTCTGTCCCCGCGTCCTTGCTTCCTCATCTCTCCAGGCGCCCCGCTCGCTTTGCATTGATAGGAAGGATTGCATTACGGAAGGGATACCTACCCCTGTGGCGCTCCTGATCCCTGCCAGCTCATGCATGGCGCCTGCATGGCTCCTGCGGGTGGCACACGGCTCGATCGATCGATGGATGGATGGATCGATCGATCGATCGATCGATCGATCGATCGATCGATCGATCGATCGATCGATCGATCGATCGATGGATGGATGGATGGATGGATGGATCGATCGATGGATGGATGGATCGATGGATCGATCGATGGATGGATGGATCGATCGATCGATCGATACGCGTCGGTGTTGCCAATGACGACGCTCGATGCTCGACGCACGACGCCCGAGGATGGACGAATGAAGCCGCGTTACTGCGGGCTGGGTGGATGACGCCAGCTGTGGGGGGGGAGGGGGGGAGGGGGTGTCGCTGGCGTCACCTGGCCGGCTGCGCGTGTGTGCACTCGGACTGAGACCCGCGACGCCGCGAGGCAGGAGGAGGAGGAGGAGCAGGAGGTTGGGAAGAGCGCCGTGCGGAGCTGATGAGACAGCTGATGAGCCACAGCGCACACGCCCCTCGCTTTCAGCTCGCTCGCTGCAGCGGCATGCGCCACCGTTGGTTGTGAATGGGGCGCTGCAGGCAGGCAGGCAGGCAGGCAGGGTGCCTTTGGCCCTGTTTTATGTGATGGAGGCGTGGGAGGGGGGGGGGCCCGTCCAGCTGTGGCCGCTGCCACCCCTTTTACCTTTTGACGTGTGGTCAGCGGGCCACGGGGGTACCTGTGCTAGCTACCCGCCCGCGGGGCGCGGAAGTTTCGTTCGGAGGCGGGGGGGAGGGGGCCGGACAAGGTCAGCTCTGAACTGGCGTCCGCCGCTAGCTGTCCTGGCGTCTCCAGCAGTTCGTACCTCCACCGTCCACGCCCTAGCTGTAGCCACCAGCCAGGCCGGCCGTCGCTCGGCAGCAGACGGATCAGGTCCAGCCAGTCTGTGGGGCTGAGGGTAACCGCCAGTGGGTCGCGGGAACCCCGGAGGCCTGGCTCGGGCTTGATCGCTTCGGGGGGGCAGGTGTGTCGGGCTGGGCGTATTGTGCCCAAACGGAGTAACGGACTTCCCCCATCGCACCCACCCAAGCGGAGCCTGAGCGAGGCTATCCATCGTCATGCCTAGCTGCTAGCTCATCTTGAGGCGCAGGTGCGACAAGCCAGACCCGGAAGTCAAGTGCTGCACGTCGGGGGGTGCGCGCACTCTAGTGCACACCGTGCGGACGACAGAGCGACTCGTGGTAGGCGCGGTCGCTCTTCGAATCGGCGGTGTATGGCGTTAGGAAAACGGGAAGACATGAGCCGCTGGAGGGGCAGAAGCCGCAGAAGCGGAAAACGGCAAGCCGTCGGCGGAAAACGGCAAAGCCGTAAAGCTCCGTGAACAGATAAGAGGCACCAGACGGGTTTTTACTCTGTGAAGAAATAAGTAAATTAGATGAAAGAAGCAAGCGCCAAACTGAATTCATGCAAGCGCCAACGGAACCTGTGCCGTAATATTGCGATTTCCAGTTAGGGAGGGCGGGGCAAGGGAATGAGGCACGTGCTTCGCGTGCCAGCGCGCGATCATGATTCATGAAGCACGAACCTTTAAAAGCACACAATGACACACCGGATGCTCGCGACAGGATTATTATCAGCAGCATTAAACAATAACAGAGGAGCTGGATAACAGCTACATAGTGCGATCGCACGACTCAGCAGCTACCAGTTTTTACACATGCATCGTGGCGGTGGCGCACGCGGCGCGTCGCTGCTAGGCACGTACATATGAGCCCACCCACCAGCCGAGCGATGTTTTGGATGTTTTACATGTTGTACATGTTTTAGATGCGGCTGCTAATTACATAGGAAGGTCTGCGCCTTGCTTTTGTTCGCGAACCGTGCGTACGTAATCCGGCGTTGCCTGTTTGGTACATCTGCATGCGGCGCCCCGCCGCTGCATTTGCTGTGCAGCAGTTGTATATACATATAAAGCCCACGGCACGGGAAAACTCACACTACAGCAGCTAGGCTGGTCGGAGAGTTACGTGGCCGCTGCTGCTAGGCTGCCGAAGGGCCTGTCCTGTGTGGATATTTTTGTGTGTGTTTGTTACATGGTTGGGGGTGCGTGCCCCTCTCATGAACAAAAACCCATACGAGCCGAGGGCCCAAGGGAACTAAAACGCCTAAAAGCACGACAGTAGAAATACCGCCCATGTGGATATGGATGGGTCATCAACTCATCATGATAAATCATCATATCGACGCGGCGTCGCAGGAATGAACCTATATAATAATGTCGTACTTTGGGATTATATCTGATGCGGTCAGGATGCGGTGGTACACCACCGCATCCTGTTCGAGGCATCGAGAGGAGCCCGCGCGTTCTTTTCAACGTGAATTTCGGGCAGAATATATATATATATATATATATATATATATATATATATATATATATATATATATATATATATATATATATATATATATATATATATGCGCACTGCTATATACACGCACTGCTATATATATATATATATATATAGCAGTGCGTGTATGTGCAAGGTGTGTCGAGCTGGTGCGGCCCGCGGGGCGGCGGCGGCGGTGTCTGATGTGGGCGTTTGGTACGGCAGCCCAGCTGCTGCCTCCGAGGCTGTTCACTAAATTCTGACGCCGTACGCACGGTACGGTGCCGTACGATCCAGTCTGTTGTACAGTCCCCCGCTTGAAGTTCGTTCACTATATAGCTGGCTAGGAGAGAATGATTTTTATTCCGGGCCGCACCCGATGGTCCTGGTTGCTTGGCCATTTCGTACACATTCGTACATACGTACAGAACCGTACATAATGCACATCAGGAGGCTAATAATAAGGCGGTTAGTTATTAGGAGGCTTTCCAGGGACGACAGAGGCGAACAACGGGTGGCTGTGGGCTGTGATCTTTGCTGGCTGGGGAGCGAGTGTGCAAGGGATGGAGAAGTGGAGAGGGACGCCGGCCCTTATTTGGGACGCTGGTTTCACTGCTATGCACTGAAAACTGGTACTGGCGCTTGTTGCTGTTGTTGTTGCAAAAAGGTCGTTACGTTCGGTGGGTAGGGCTAGCTGTCCAATTGGCCGTGTTCTGCAGCGGATACAAACACGGCGCGTGAAAGGTCATTCATAATTGCATTCAGTGCCGATCATGTGCACTGCGGACGTCGCCCAGCTATATGCTGTTTGGTTGTCGCCTCTTCCCAAACATGACAGATATTGGCAAGCACGGAGGTGTGTGAATGTACGGCGGATGAACCGCTGATGAGCACCTGCATCGCTGCATGGCGAGCCGCGATGTGGCATGGCTGTGGCGGCTTGACAAGGTTTGGACGGAGGAGATATAACCCTGCTACATCAAAATCAAATTTTGAACTCCAATGGGTGCATGTGTACAACGTAGTTCGAACTACAGTATCTTTTTACGAGATGCAGATCATGAGGTCGACCCCGGTGATTGTCATTTTCATAGTTGTTTTGGGGGGCACCTGAACCCCGGACAGGCACTCCTAGCTGGCCAGCTAGTTGTGCACTGCATCAGAGATGACCAACCAGCAAGGCAAAGGAAGCCGCACCGCACCCAGGCAAAGCTTCAGAAGTCGCCGCCTCAGGAACAACTCGGTGCGTCGGTGGATGGCCAGCTGGCCCGTCGGCTCAAATCTTCTGGAGCCTCGATGCTACCGTGCGAATCGCAATGTGAGTACGGATGCAATAGTGCTCTCATCACATCTTCTGAGGAAACCCCTTATGGAGTGTAGCTAACGAACGTCCCTGGATCGATTCCGGAATGTGCCCGCATAGCTCAGTCGGTTAGAGCGGTGGTCTTATGACTTCACCACAGAGGTGAAGGGTGAGCCGCAGGTCCTGGGTTCGAGCTCCAGTACGGGTACGACAGCGTATTAATCGAAAATCGAATCGGACTGAAATAGTTGTTATATTAGCCACCAGACCACCACGCAGATAGATTGCTTCTGCTAGCTGCTGGCCAGCCGGCCGTGCGTGCACTGCATTAATCTATGCTAGCTGCTGGCCAGCCGGCCGTGCGTGCACTGCATCAATCTATCTGCGTAGTGGTCTGGTGGCCAATATAACAACTATTTAGTTCAATTCGATTTTCGATTAATACGCTGTCGTACCCGTACTGGGGCTCGAACCCAGGACCTGCGGCTCACCCTTCACCTCTGTGGTGAAGTCATAAGACCACCGCTCTAACCGACTGAGCTATGCGGGCATATACCGGAATCGATCCAGGGACGTTCGTTAGCTACACTCCATAAGGGATTTCCTCAGAAGATGTGATGAGAGCACTATTGCATCCGTACTGACATTGCGATCCGTACGATAGCATCGAGGCTCCAGAAGATTTGAGCCGACGGGCCAGCTGGCCATCCACCGGCGCACCGAGTTGTTCCTGAGGCGGCGACTTCTGAAGCTTTGCCTGGGTGCGGTGCGGCTTCCTTTGCCTTGCTGGTTGGTCATCTCTGATGCAGTGCACAACTAGGTGCGAGTACCTGCGTGGTGGTCTGCTGATGGCCACTATAACAACTATAATAAAACGGTATCTGTTCGTATACGGGTTCGATCTCATGACCTGCGACTCATTCGAAATATGCAGCGCATTATAGGATGGGCGCATTATCAACCGCATCTGTCCATTAAAGACATACGCTCGTAATCGAAGCATTGAGTAATCACAAGCATTTGTCTATCATCACCATGGTCATAGGGAGCGCAACCAAAAACTGTCGTTCGTGTGGCGGGAAGCGGTGCCGTAGCCGCCGCCTCCTGCACGCTTTCCCTTGCTACCATCCCACCTACCCTTGCTTGCTTCCTGCTTCATACATGAGAGACGACATGACAAGCCATCCACGAAACCACAACGAAGCCATCCACACTATCGATCGGGCACATACCATACACGATACGCTATATTGCTGCACGCTTGTGTGCTCGTCCATCCGTCCATCCTACCCAGGACGTTTCTTCATCATCATCTACCATGCACAGCCGTACCACGCACGCACTCGTCGGCCGACATCAGTATCATACATACATTGACCAAATGTATGTGCACAAACGTATACATCCGCCCTGGCGACACACATACATACACGGAGTGTCACACCGCGCATGCACGCACGAATATATTACTGAGTTCGACGAAATCCAGTTCGTTGCTCAAAAGAACGAAGTTGACCAAGTATAACATGCATACAAATGGGGCGCTTGCGCCAGCACTAATACTGATAAGTCAAGCCCGTCGGCGGACAACTAACTCCAGGTAGGGGTGCGTGGTCCCGTGCGCGCGCAATCTTGGAACCATCCAACGAACACAATGTGCCGTACTATCTTATCCGTCCACCCGACAAGCAACACGGATGGAGACGGAGGCTTCATTCGGCGATCATCGATCACCCTACCATTCACTCACGCAACGTGTGGAACTCCGTCCATTCCACATCCGCGCGTCCTATACGTATATCTCAGCATGCATGCAAAGCTAGACGGAGCTCACACTCTTTCTATCCCGGCTCCCGGCGAAATTCCGGGGGCGGCGGGAGTGTACGTATATGTATGTATCAGCCATCCATCGATCTCATCAGTACACTTGGAAACAGGACTTGTCCATGGCGGCATTGTATTGCGTGATGCCGCAGCCGCCGCGCATTGCGTTGTTCTTCAGGATGCAGCGACCGTCGAGCAGCCGTACGAAAAAGCGGCAAGTAGAGCTGGCCTGGCAGGCGGCCGCGCATTGGTCCAGGTTGTAGCCGGTGAAGGTCGCGAAGCAGTTTTCGTTGTCTGAGTGGTCGCCATTGATATCCCAATTGTCAATGCAGAAGAATCTGCCTGGAGGGCGGATAAATTGGGGAATGTGCGTGTAAAAATGGAGTGTTAATAATATCGATCGATGCGGGTTGGCTATACCTAGACATGTCTTGCAGAATCGCCGACCGTTCCTGCGTGCTCGTAAGGCATAATTAATTTATAATCAACATAGTATCAAGGCAGGTCGCCCGGGCAGGGGGCACGCGGGCCCCCCGACTGTCGACACCCATGCCTGCGACCTGCGTGCCAAGTCATCATGAACCGCATGAGCAGAAGCTGGATAACAGCTACATAGTGCGATCGCACGACTCTGTGAGCTTAACGTTCAATAGAACATGCATCTAAACCAGGCCATTAACCAAATCACCGGCGAAATCGCCTCATTGGAAAGGGATCCCACGCTGGGAAATAATGAATGTCTTCGACTTAGATAGCATGCATGTAAAGCGCCAGAAAGTTTGCAATTGATTGCTTCGTAACGGCCATGTGCGCCGCAGACATACATGCACCAGTAATGATTATACATGTCCTGCCTGGCCCAGTCCTGCCCACGTATGTATATACTTGTCTTCCAACAGTGAAAGGCCCAGCAGCTTCGTTTGCTTGATACCTTCGACGGGATTTTGCGAGCGAGGTCGTAAAACCCCTTTGGCCTGAGCGTCTAAATGGTGGCCTTTCTTTATATACTTTCTTTATAATCTGAGCTATACATACAACCCATGCCAACTACGTATGCACGTAGCCGCCAGTGCGCCTACCACGATTAGCGCGCATCCAACAGGTGCTGTCCACATTCGTGTTGACGCCGTTCTTCCCACTATTGCCTGTGACTGGGTTCCGCTTGAGATAGCAGAAACCGTCGTTGATGGTGCGCACGGAGAAGATGCACCTGCGTGTGGGATACGTATCCGGCGAGTGACCGATCGACCGGCCGACACACGCACGAGTGACGATTTAGATCGCACATAGCAGCATTGTTTGCTGATTATATGCGCTGATCGGATCCCCCTCCATTCGACATGTATGTAATGAAATGAAACAGCACCCAGATCTCTATCTGTCTCGCTCTGTGTCCAATCCACTACGTACTGCCACTATCTATCAAGCTACTGGCTGGGGATGGAGTAGATGCCAGCTGCACGTACGGAATCTAACGTACGGCTAACAAACACATACAGCACTGGATGGCTGGGCTGCTTACACACACACACACACATAAGTGCGTGTGTAGTGCTGTGGTCGCGCGACGGACGTCTTAAACAGATGAAACTCTTCCGAGACACATATCTTCGTATCGCTCGCTGTCATCACATATCGAATAAAACGCCACGCAGCGCCGCCGCCCAAGCTACCTAACCGATCGACGGAAACATGCTAACCCATGCGAACCCATGTAAAACCATGCATGTGGAGGCAGGAGTACATACGTAGTGCAGCACTTCATTAATGCATGCATATATACGTCAAGCGAGAAGCCCATCCATGGACGCACGTACGTGGGCTCCTTGTAGCACTCGTCCCGACATGCCTCCATGTTGGCGGTCTTCACATAACGGATGTCAAAGCCGGCAATGTCCGTCTGCGACTGGCATGCCCAGGCACCACCTGCGTGCGATGGAGGGACGCGTGCGTGCGTGCGTGTCAGTGCGGGATACACATGCATGGGCGGACGGAGCGATGCCGCAACATTTGTATGTCCGTACACTCAAGATAACGTCGCGTATACATCATATACATACAGCATTACGGAGAGGATTAACTTGGTCACAGGGAGGGCACAACCAGGGCTCCACAGGAGAGATGACCATCTGGTGATGATGATAATAATAATAATAATAATAATAATAATAATAATAATAATAATAATAATAATAATAATAATAATAATAATAATAATAATAATAATAATAATAATAATAATAATAATAATAATAATAATAATAATAATAATAATAATAATAATAATAATAATAATAATAATAATTATAATTATAATTATAATAATTATAATTATAATAATAATAATAATAATAATAATATGCCTCGTAACTAACGATAACCAGTCGTGCAGTTCCAAGACAGCCCCTCGGGATCTGGTACGTACATGCATGAATTTTGCAGCACGTACTGTCGTACCTCTTGGTTCCGGTGGCGGCGGCGGCGGCGGTGGTGACGGAGGCGGCGACGGCGGCCTGAAGGGCGGCACTGTATGTACGCAAGCACCATGCGTCCCGCCATGCGGACAACCAAAGGTAACATACACACACAACCAATGGCGATCGATCAGCAGCCGCCAAGTAAAGGCTACTAGCCTTTACATACATTTGCGGTCATCTGTCATGTCTAGACACGGCGGCAGATGGGCGGCCCGCCATGTGATGTATAGTATGGTATGTGATGACAGGTGATGACCGCAAAGTGTACGTATGTAAGGATGTACATACGTACAACGCTCCGTACAGGCACATGCGCACACGTTTTTGTGAGGCAGACTTTATTTAGGAAAGCATTATCACGCACTGATAAAGCGGAAAGGTACAGGCAGGTAGGAAGACATCCGTCCTTCGATTCCCGGCTGCTATCCCCGCCACAACCTTGCTCGTTAACGTCGGTTAGTTGTGCACGGGCATATATACGTGCACCGACGCACATGTCGCCACGTGCCGGCGGGACCTACCAGCGGTATCGTTATTGCAGGCGAACTGGGTGGGAGCTGCCGTGATGAATGCAGGCGCTGCAACCTGTCCTGGTTGGTTGGCCCCGCGTATCGCGAAGCGCTGATTGGCACCCCAGTGGCAACTCCACTGCTGCACCACGCCGTTTGCTGCGAGCGAGTATTTCCGGTGGAAACTGCATCAGTGTGCCCGCGTGGTGTATGAGGGAGGGTCTCTAATAATAAGAGGATACAATCAAGGCGACTTTTTAAGTATTACGTGCGTTCGAAGCTAGATTATTGCCGTAGTAGCCTTTACACACTCAAACAAGGCTCATCTATCTATCGCACATACGATGAATACGAAAACATCCCGCTCACAACATGTGTGCATGGCTGGGTAGCAGCAA